TTTCATTACTTCAAAAGAGAGAGATTTTAGCTCAAAGGAACAAACTTTTGACATACCCATTAGCGTGACGGTAGATATAATGATCATGACCCGGTTTCGTAAAATCTGTAAAAAGTATTGAAAATGGGTTTAGTTTATTGAATTCACACACTAATTAAAAAAGGGTTTCTTTTTTTTTGTCAGTAGCTGAAATCTGAAGAACCTGTGATGAAGTAAGAAACGAAATTGATTTGCGTAGCTGAAGGAGGACAAATTGGAAGATCTCCAATGTCTGAAAGCAACAGATTTCGCAATTCATCTTCATCTTCTTCGGCTACTTGAGCTCCTTGTTCATGTTGCTCCTCGCAGTGTTCTACTTCCTCGGATTGATTTTTCTTAGTTGATTCGATTTCTGGATTCTTCGCTACCTCAGTCTTCTGAATCTCCATTCTTCTCCTATAGTTTCAAACTATCGTCTTCTTCTTCTTTCTCTCAGTTTCGAGTTTAACCTTTTTCTCCGACGGCGAAAAATCAATCGGAGTTTTGTAACTAATGGGCCTCTAAAGACCCATTTAACGATTTTGGGCCGATCCCATTCGAACCAAAACGATTTAATTGATCCAAAATTCGAACCATATCTTAATACGGTTTAGATGGATTCACATTCATATCCGAAAAACAGAAAACCAAATCTTAACCGAACTGACATTGATCTAAAACTTTTCTTTCACCGAAACCGTATCTGGATCATCCATAACAATAACATTTTCGTTTTTTTATTTTATTTTGAATATTAATATATATACTAGAAAATAGGAGGACCAATGAGATCTTCCAAATTCCAAGGAGACTCATTTACGCTTTGGATCACAAATTGGAAGAGAAAAACAAGCCAAAACCATAAACTATAGAAAAAAAAAAGCGTTTATTGTAATAACGATTTTGATTGAATATAATTTTACATTCATTTAAACAAAAAATAAAATAAAATGATTCACGGTGGTGATTTGACACGTGTCGTTTTCGGCCTAACCGCCTTCCTCCTCTTCGCCGTCGTTCACAGCCAGGTTAATATATTGGATTTGAACAAAGATTTGCAAAGACACAACTTTGCATTAATATATGTTGTTTGAATCAAATTGACAGGAGAAATGCAGCAAAACCTGCATTGCAAATAACTGCAACAGTAAGATTGTTTTTTATTCTGCATTCCTTTGAATTTGGAGAAGATCTCTTCTGTGTTTCCGTAAGAAAACTATGCTTCAGGTCTCGGCATTCGGTACGGGAAGTATTGTGGGATAGGATACTTTGGATGTCGCGGAGAGCCACCTTGTGATGATATTGATGCTTGTTGTATGACCCATGACAATTGTGTTGATTTAAAAGGTAAACCAATCAATTATTGCCAATATTTGAGTTGCTGCATAAAATAATTTTTCTATGGAAATCATTTTTTAGTATAAACCGGAGACAATTTGATATGTGTGTTCAATGTAAAATTGTAAAAATAAAATTTTCAAAGTTTTGTATTTGCAGGTATGACTTACGTTAACTGCCATATACAGTTCAAGCGTTGCGTAAACGAGGTTAACAAAACGATAAATCAATCTAAGGGACAAAAGGTTGGATTTTCCACACAATGCCCTTTTTCGCTAGTGATACCAACCGTATACAAAGGAATGGATTACGGTATTTTCTTCAGTAAGATAGGTAATGTTTTTGCTCTGATTTATTCATATCTAACATGTGGTTATGTTATTCAACTATTAACCACTATACTAACAATATCAGAATCACTAAATTCCTGGAAAGCTATAAGCTAGTAGTGAAACAATATGTGATATGACTCTTTTTGTTACATTGTTTGTGACATTTCTTATTACAACACTTAAATAACTGTCTCGGATAATTTCAATTAAAACCTGATAAGATGTGAATAATCTTGCGCAGGTAATATCTTCAAACCGCCGGTGGTAGGAAGTAGGCCTGTCGTGGAGGCGAATCTCGCTCTGAGCAAAGCGGATACAAAGGATGGCCTTGGAACAAACATACCTCTTCAAACAAAAGAAGGCTCCAAAGTATATGCTTCTTTAAACTAAGATGAGCCCTTCATGAGTCATAAATTATGTAGAAAATGAAATGTATCTATGAATTTTTTAAAATAAATCAGAATAAATTTGTTGTTTCACTATATTTGTAACTAACATAATACTTTCTTTTGGCCGAAGCACAAAAACATTTACTAAATTCAGTAGTCAACTACTTTACCATTCATACCAACATAAAGTAGTTCTTGGTCAGAGAAAATAAAAGCTAAATCATAAATCGAATCAAAGGTACATCTTTCGGTCCATCGGAACAACATTAAAAACAAAATCGCATCATGCCTCGTAAAATGAAGACCTAAATAAAAAACACAAAACAAGTCATAATAAAGTGAAATTTACAATGAATATTTGGATGTCTAACTTAAACGGTTAAACCTCCCGATGGGAGCAGATTATATAATTGACTATGATTAGAGGAGATGAATCGTTATCATGTATTGAAATTTCCACGTCCTTTGAGTTTTCACAAGAATATTTAGGTTTCTAGTATGTGTCATATATGAAAGTGCGGACTTGTGAAAGCAACCTATCTTTTATATATAGGATATATAAACTGAAAATTGAAAAAACCGAACCGAAATCCGAATTGAACATCCATATTTTGTTCAGGTAAATCTCGCTGAAACATAAGCTCTGAAAATACCAAACAGAGTTTTGTTTGTCACAAGTAAAAGAACTGATGCGCACAATAACAAAATAAAAATGTCAGATATTTGGAAATAACAGAAGTTTTTAACAGATAAAAAGCAGAGAATTTCTATTAAATCTAGAAATCATCATCGTCTTCCTCAGCCATGTATTTAGCAAGCTCCTCTTCCTGCTGTTTCTTCTCCCTCCTTTTCTCGTCGCTCTCTTTCTCCTTATGCGTGTTTGGCGGGAACCTCAGCGCTCTGACCGCTTCATTGTGCATGTTCAAACAGAAGGCAATCCTCGAGTTAAACGCAGTCTGCGGTTCGTTAGTGGAGTAGATGTCTCCTGTCTCCTTGGAGACCATACAACCGTTCTTGTGGTCGATGGTCGCGTCAATTGCTCCATCTCTAATGGCTTTAGCCACAATGCTTTCTGCATCCGCGACTGGGTTTGCTGAGTTCAATCTTAGCTTCTGGGCGACATCGGTTAGGGAGATTCTCGAGTAAGAGATGCTGATGTTGCGCAGTCCTGTTCTGATAACGTTGTGTCGGAGTCTGACTATGAGATTGTGAGTCCTGTCTTCAGAAAACGTTTTCGCAAACCTCTCTTGAACGTTCCTGAACAGCTCCAAGTCACCAATCCTCACAGCCTGTCAAATTCAAACATATTATAGTTCGAGATCCTTATTTCAGAATATACGTTAAGCTGCATAATCTAGCTAAATGTCCAGAGAGACTAGGATAATGAAGTTCTACAGCACCGAAGAGTAACTTATGTTCAGGTCATGTTTAATATTCTCTTTAAGGAAATTTAGAACGTGTCACATATGGAAGAATTGCAAACATGTACTCACATTGGTCAGCTCGAAATATGGCCTAAGAGCCTTCTCCATACCCTTCTGAGTGAAGATGGACCGTTCTGGAATTTCACCCAAGAGTAGTCGAACTATAATAGCCCACTTGTTACATTGGACTCTGAATCCTAGAGCAGCGACAGGTGCTTTTCTAGCAGCCTGTAGAAGGCTCTCTTTCGCATCGGTGTACTCCAGCTGGATCGTCCTGATCTTACCGAGATAAAACAAATACCTACAGAACTGTAAAACATACTGTGAGATCCTCTAGCCACATAATATATATAGATATACTTAATTACATTTGAAGATATGGAGGTCTAAATAAACGGTAGTAGGCACAGAAGAAGCGGATAAAAGAAACACAAGGTACAGTAGGTTTAAGAAAATAACAGCCGAGCAACACACCAATAAACATGAGCAACACCTAGCAGCAGATATATATAAGTAATGCAAATGGAATATATATAACCGCAATCTAGAAGAAATTTGACAGTTGAAAATTAGCATAAGTAAGCCATCAGAGAACCATGATCAAGAAAGCCACAATAACCAAGTGTATGGAGGCATAACTGAAAGATACCTGTTGGTTAGAATGTGCCTCAAATCGAGGTGCTTTTGATCTTAACTTCTCTGCCTGGTCATACAGGTTGTAGTGCAGATAGTTGCGAAGCAACAGATTCAGAAGTGTCTCCTGCATTCACGAAAGTAATTTGAATAATCAAAGAAAAAAACCCATAAGAGCTAAGTGTTTGTATCATTGGTGAACCACGCACCTGGCCCAACTCATCATGGCGCAGTGTTGCAGAATGGTGCAAGGCAAGAAGATTACTGCAAGCAGAAACAAAGTCAATCAAATAACTGACTCTTGAACTAATATGATAAACTGAAAAAGAAAAAACGCACTGTCAGTGAATCACTACTCACCCACGTATCTCGGCGAGATCACCAGTTGTCTCATAACTTAAAGAGTAGTAAAAGTACAATCTTGAAGCTATCACATCAATAGTTCTCCTATTTACGCTCTTAAGGCGAGCAATACTTGCTGAAGAGCAAGCTTTCGCCTGAAAGCGAAGCACATTCAGAATCAAAACAACAACAAGCGTAATAAACAAAAGTAATGTTGAAACGTGAGAGAGACAGAAGTAACCTCGTTGTATTTTTTCTGATCAATCAGAAAAAGAAGAACAATGAAGTAGCAGTAAATCTCGAGCTCTGCAGGTAAATGCTTGGGAGGAGCTTGAGAAGTCGATGATGCTGTATCAACTTCCATGTCATGTTCATCCCCCTGAAAACATTATTACAGATTCAAATGAAGAAGCTTCAATGGCCATAACTCGAATATCAAAACTACGAAAAATTTCAGAAAACTTTCTCCATTCCAAACATCAGAAAAAGGGTAATCACTATTTATCTACAGAATCTAAATTAGCACAATTCTGAGCGAGAATTGAAGCCAAAAAAAAATTACCTTGGGAACAAAAGAAGAGAGACGAGTGTGAGCTTCGGATCCAGGAACCAAAGCGAAATCAAGGAAAGAAGAGATCACAGAACCGGTGAGCTTCCGTCTTAGCCCAACGGTGAGACGAACAGCACGAGCAATACGTCGGACTTCTTTGGTATACGATCCGGTATCGATAAGAGCTGCAATCTCCTTCAAATCTGAGAATAAAAAAGGCATTCCAATGCGTGAATCGATGAGCGATAAAAAATCAATTTAAGAACCCTAACATTGTGAAATTAAAGAGAAAACTGAAGCATAAGATCGAGAGATTTACGCTGCAGAGTGGAAGTCGTAGCAGAGACGAGGGATTGAGTTGGGGTTTGATTATCTTTCATCTCCACGTCTTGAGTCATCTTCTTCTCCAGAAATCTCAGTGTTCTTCACAAAGACCAGATAACAAAAAATTGAGGAGAGTAGGGCTTTGAACATAATTAAGTAATAACTTTATTTTTTCTTTTCTTTTTCTTCAAGACAGAATCTATTATTATTAAATGATAAATTGTGAACTTCCTGAAAAAGAGCAACAAAGTCGTTGTAGTATAGTGGTAAGTATTCCCGCCTGTCACGCGGGTGACCCGGGTTCGATCCCCGGCAACGGCGTAATATTTTTTAATCAAAAGATATCTGTTATGCGACGTCGTTTTCTTCTGTGGACTTACTTTTTCTCTTGTACACTGTCCACAAAATTACTGTCTTTCTTATTACAGACCAAACTAATTAACATACACTAGTTTGGCACCCAGCAAGAAGTGATTTGAGAATTGGATGGTTTCTACTACATGCTTTTCTGTGTGAATCGATATATCTCGTCACTTTAAATTCATTCAAACTTACAAAAGAATACTACTTGTAAATAAAAGAATCAACTGTTCCATCAGATTAATAACTGATAAGCAAAGGAAAAACAAAAGAGTTAAATTTTGTTCAAACTCAAGTCTCACTCTCACGT